AGCTGCCAGTGGCAGCAGAGGGGAAACTAACTCTCCTCCCTGCCCCCCTCTGCCTCAGGGGCCATGGTGTCCTGCTGCTGCTGCTGCAGCAAGGGGGGAGCACTCGACAGACCCAGCTCAGGTCCTTGCCAGTGGGATAGAGAGAGGGGAATTGAATCCCTCCCTGGCTAGACCTTGCTCAAGCCCGTCCCTGCTCCTGCTCAGGCTGGGGAGCAGAGGAGTGGGCCCAGCCCGTCTGGGCTGCAGCAGAGAGCCCAGCCCAGAGAGCAAGCCAGGATGCTGGGGGAGTCTGGTTTAACTTAAACCAGAGAGGGGTCTGGGACAAACGTTGTATAAGCCAATTTGAGCCAAATCAGTTAAATCTGATACTACATTCAACCAGGTTTATCTCAGATCAGTTTCAGCCATTTTGAAACTGATTTACATGCACTGAATATCTGTTCTGTTACAGGTTTAATCAGTTTCAGATCACTTAAACCAGTTTATGTGTAATGTCTGTCCGTAGCTGAGGTGTTTGTATACTGCTAGGCAGAGGCAGAGACTCTGATTGTGACTGAAATCTTGGACCTCTTCTGTACTATAAATGATACCAATATGGAAGCTTGTGCTTTTATGGCAGATTGATGAGGAGAAAAGATGCACAACTCCAGGATGGCACTGAGTCTCCTTCTGGACAATTCAGGTGATCATTTTTCAGTGATAACACTTATATTGTATTATGTAGCATGAAATAAAAATAGTGTCAGTTGCCTGTTTGTTGAAATAGAAATGCATAATCTTTCCTTGGGTCTGGAACTGGCTTTTGGAGACATTAATAGAAAAGTGACCATTAAAGACATGTTTTCTTTTCTTTCTCATGCCCATCAGGTTACGCATTGCTTCTTCATACATAGGGATAGTCTGGAGGAATTTGAGGGTCAATAACACTGTTACAATGGAAATGCTCCAGTTTGCCACTCCTGTAGCGAGTAATAAAATAAGTCATTTTCACAATAAGTACAATATTTTTTTTAAATCTGTACCTTTTATGCATGGTTTACTTCTTGGGGAGCAATAAAACTCTGGAGGCCTGTTCAGTTGCCCCATTCATTCTGTTTCAACACACAGGGTATGGACACATAACATACCCATTTAAATGCAGTTTACACCTAAAGCAGATAGACATCCAAGCCTGTTAAGCCAATTTAAATCAGTGCCAACTTTGTCTGGACACTTACCTGCGTATCCAACAAGTGTCTTCATTCTTCTCATACCCCAAAACTATTTTATAAAGACACTACCTTAGGGATAAGATAAATAATAGATCGTCAGAACCACATAATAGAACACACTGTTCATTAGGAAAAGGCAGTGTTAAAAAGAGACTTTAGCTCATATAATTTAAAAATATTTTACATTTCCAGCCATACCAAAAGGAGTTTGATTTAGGTCTGTGACTATGAGTAACATCAGTGAGCCATAGTCTTCATCCCTAGCCTATCTGATTGAAGCTGGGTAGGCTATAAAAATCAAGTATAGAACATTTGTCTCTGAAGTCGTGTGTGCTATGTTATCTTCCATTTCCCCAGTATTTCTTTCCCTGAAAAAGAGGAAAATAGCCTACTCTAAGTGAACAAGGTGCATTCCCATTGCTCGAATAATTGTTTTCAAAAGATTTGCTCTGCTGAACAAAGGATGGTTCTAAACACCTAGCTAATGTGTGGATTGAATTCCTTTCTCCTTGTGGTTCTGCAGAACAAAACAACCAACTCCTCTTACTGTTCATCAGTTCTAACAGTGGTAACTACAGTTTTCTGTTAACTCACTTTGGTTTCCCCATCCTAAAGCTAACAGGTCATGGTTACAGTTACCATCAGTGTTCCTCCTACTTAATCTATAAAAAAGCAAAATTCCTTTTTCAAGTGGAAGTTATTTTCCTATGGCATGGACTTAAAAAATATTTGCCATCAGATGGCATTCAGAGTTGAACCTTGGATCCCAAGATGGATTTGGAGGGAAAAGACATGGTATAATTTAATTTGAATAGCACTACATCAAATACAGAGTTAAAATACATGTATAAACAGACGTCTATAAGCAAGAAAGTAGAGAGAAATGTGAATGTGAAGTCTTTTTACTTGTAAATTAGTGCCCTCCCATCTCTATTAAAGCAGCCCCCAAGTCCCAGATTTCCATACCATGCTAGAGACCAAGAGAGGTATATACAGTATAATTTAATAGCAAATTCCATGGAAAGTAAATTATATCATATAATTTATCATACTTCATAGATTTCATAGACATTAGGGCTGGAGGGGACCTCGGTAGATCATCGAGTCCAG